TCCTATTAAGTAACTACCATTATCAGCCGGTGAGGAAATTAGGCACAAATTGGTTAATTGCCTAAGGTCACTATTAAGTAACCAAGCTGAGATTCAAAGTAATCTGGTTTCAGAGTCCATGTTTTTTTTATTTTAGAGAGAAACATCAATTCGTTGTCCCTTTTATTTATGCATTCATTGGTTGCTTCTTGTATGTACTCTGACCGGGGGTCAAACCCAAAACCTTGGTTTAAACAAGTCCACGCTCTAACCAACCGAGTTACCTGTCCAGGGCCCATAGTCTGTGTTCTTAATCACTCCACAATGTTGCCTCTCCAATCTGAAGAGAATTTAAGAATTTCTCATTCCTGGTAAACTCCACTATTTCATTTAATCCTAATTCACTAATCCTAATTCTCACTTCATTATGGTAAAGATTTTGAAAATTTTAAAGTAGCTTTCAGAGCATTTTAAATGTTCACTGCTTCCTTAAAAGGCAGCCACAACTGTCTTAACCCCTTACCCAACAATTTTTTTGTTAAAAACGTTTCTTTTTCAGACTAATTTTTTTATTTTGGTTCTATATAGTATTTTTGATGCTGGTTATGAAAACAGTTTGTAACTCGTCTTCCTATAAACCATATTTTTTTACCATATTTTCTTAGTATACTCGTCGACGACTGAAAAAGAACATTTTGTGAAAACGAGTATACACGTTTTTGCGGGGGAAGGGGTTAAAGCCATAGGTCCAACAAATAGTGTTAACCGGTTCAGGTAATATACTGTATTTGTTGAGTCCTTTTGTGGGGCTGACAGAGTATGGAAGTCAGGGCCTTTTCATTAGCAAAACACTGATTTTACATTCTACTTTTTAAGAATATTACTGGGCCCTGTAGTATTCTACCAAGCAGCTCAGTTGGTTAGAGCATCATCCTGATATGCCAGGATTGTAGGTTCCATCCCTGGGCAAGGCACATACAAGATTCAAACCGTAAATGCACAAATAAGTATAACAACAAATCAATGTTTCTTGATAATATTCTAATAATTATGTATGGTGCCATGGGTGCTAAATTTATCAAGATGATCACTTAGTAAGCTATGTAATGTCTAATGACTGGGGTGTACACCTGAAACTAATATAAATGTATGTCAACTGTAATTAAAAATAAAAAATCTTTAAAAATCAGTGTTTTTCTCTCCCTCTCCAAAAAAAAAAAAAAGACTGCTGTATGGGTACTTAATGTGGGGTGCTGGACCCAAATGGATGAGTTTCAGGATATGTAATAGGCGCCTAAAATATCAGGCAAAAAGAATTGTATTTTGACTTCAACATCAGTCAAAATTGTGTATTCCAAAAATAAGGGTTAACCTGTAGGTCACTGCTACCTTACAATGGTGTGAATACAACCTCTGTAGCATTCCATATTATTTAAAACCTCATATTTCCCTGCATTATTTGAGAAAGGAGACGCAAAAGTCGAAATAATAACGCTGCACTATTTGCAGAGGTAGGGTGCTTCTCTCGTGGCATTTACCCTTCCTTCACGTGTCCAGACGCTTCAACCTGGGGGACGGAAGGGGTCGGCTATCTCCGGACCAGTGGCTCGGAGCAGACAGCTCCCGGCAGGCCAGCGCGTCCAGCTCTGAATCCTTATCCTTATTTAGACTCGTCACCACCCCTGCTGGGAACAGACAGGCGGCCGCGGACGGGTCACTAGTGAGAGGAAGTGACTGGCTGCAGCTCCTGACCCGGAAGCGATCTCTAGTCCCGCCCCCTCCGCCTGGCTTCCTCCTGCAACAGGCGTGGGTCACGCTGTCGCTCGCTCTCTTTCTGCCGCCATCTTGGTTCCGCGTTCCCCGCACAGTAAGTTGTGTCCTCGCTGTTACTCTATCCGCAACCATCCGCCTTTCTGGCGGCCTAAGCCACCCCGGGGGACTGAGACCTAAAGAGAGTTAGAGGCTTTATGTGGGCCCCCCCAGGTTCCTACTCGACCCTGGGAATTGTGGCTTTGGTGTCACCGGACAAAATGGGGTCTGCGATTGGTGTCCTGGCAAAAGCAGGGCAGGAGGGCCGCGGGCCGCGCTGTTAGTCCGGGGCTGGCGTGGTGGGAGCCTTGGCCGTGTTGGGGGCGGAGGCGAAGTGTGTGCTGTTGGGAACGGCTTCAGGATCACCCGTAGGAGGTGAAGGGGTCACGGCCTTGGAAGTCCGCCCCCTCCCCCTCCGCGCGCACACACACGTCTTATTGTGACGAGTGTTTGGGGCTAAGGCTCCCTCTTTTCCCTGTTGATTCCCGAAAGTCGGCCCACGGAGACCTGGAGGTCCAGCCCGGGCGGCGTGAACGGGAGGAAGGAGGTGGTTCGTAGTAGCGTCTGCCGTGCCCCGCGGCCGGAGCCTCCCTCTCGGGGTGCGAACGCAGTGCCGGTGGCCGCCGTGTGGGGGGTGGGGTTGGAAACGGGGAATCAGACGAGCCCCCGGGGACCGGGAAGGCCGCCCTCTGCGGAGTGGAGAGCAGCGGGGAGGAAGGGGCGACTCGCCGGGTTAGCGATGTGCGGGTCACGTCACGCTTCTCGGCTCTTGCCAGCTCCCTGGGGAGGGTTGTCCCCAAACACCCTCGTGATGGTTTTGCGCCACGGTTTTCTGCAGTTTTTGAAAAATACCTGCCTCTGGGTTGGGGACAGCAGACCGATCCCGGTCAGTTCAGGCCTCCTTTTTATTTCCTTCAGAAATGCCCGGCGAAGCCACAGAAACCGTCCCTGCTACGGAGCAGGAGTTGCCCCAGCCCCAGGCTGAGACAGGTAGGACCCCCTAGTCCCCGCGCCGATGACTGAGATGGTGAGATGGACCCTAAAGCCATTCGGGGGGTGCAGCGACCAAGAGAAGGCCCTCCTTGTCTCTCGTTAGAGACGGTGAGGCTGTAGCTCCGTCGGGGATGAGCGTCCATGGTATTAACTGCTGTCCTTGGAAGGGACTTCATTTGGGAGTTGGGTGAAAACCGTATATTTAAGATTCCAGAACGTGGGAAGCTCCCTGGCCTGTTTTGTAGGCGGGGCCACTGCCTCCAAGGGAGCTTGCAAAGCTGGGCTGGGCAGGGGCTCAGTGATTCTTTCCTATTTGAACTGGATGACACACTGGCAGGCCAAGGAGACCTGAGCTTTTAAGAAGGTCCAGCCAGCAAGTTGCATCAAGGTTTTAGATGGCAGAGCTTGGCATTGTGCCCTCATCATGTGTCTGAATGAGATGTGTGCTGTGGTGAATGTGCCCTCCTGAGACCAAGGACCCTCTTGGTCGGTTGACTTGTTTTATGGATTGGTGATGAGATGTCCAACAGCTTGTCTGGAACCCAGAATTGAATTAAATCTTTCCTTTGACTATTCTTCAGCTTTGAAATTAATGAGTGTAGATAGAACATGGTGTAAAGGCAAGTTTTGAAGTCTGGTTAAAGTGCTTCTCTATAAAACTTGAGAAAGGGATTAGTGAAACTACTTTTTTAATGAAGATCTTGCTGAGTTGTGCAAAACTAAATGAAGGGAATCTTCAGGGTGTAATCTTTTTTTTTTTCTTCTTATAGTAAATTAATTTTTTTTTAACTGCACCTGTCACTTAAGAACAATTCCCGTCTTCTGGAATTAAAATAGAGTTGTTTGTAGTTGAAAGTGTTAAAGTCCGCCCTCTCCACCTGTCTGATTTCAGCAGCTGAAGGGATTAATACAGCTGCTGGTAAAGAAAAGGGAGGGCGTCCCTGAGTTTGGGAATGAGCTATGGGAAATCTTTGAACTATAGGGGACTAAAGGGCTGCTCTCTAAAGATCCTGTAATTCGGTGCTAAATAAAAATGCTCAGGTCTCGTTGAACAACTTGATTTTACAAATGTAGAGAGTGAAATTCAGATGAATTTCGAATAATTTGGTTTCAAGCTTCAAAAGGAATGCCATTAAATAGAGTACCTGAGAAAACTATCTCAGGCAATCGGTTATTGTGTCTAAACCAAGTAATTTGGTCCTTATCCCACAGAGGAAAACATTCTAAGTTTCAAATTCTGATTATGTTAGAAAGCATTGCATTTTAATCATAAGACTTTTACCTACCAACCCTCCAAGAAAAACTGGTTGAGCTGCCTGTCTTTTCTGTGCTACAATACTTTAAGAAAATTGTGAATTTGCATGCTACAGGCTTTTTTGTTTTGTTTTATTTTAAATATTCCCTTCAAAGTGTTGAGCATTTGTTATTCTACTCCTGTGTTACCTCCTGAATAGTAAGCATGGATTTTTCTGTCATTCAGAATATCTTGCTTAGCTTTACTCTAGTGCCAAATACTGGTCTATTTTGACAGAATGACATACTTATCCACATTAAGGGGTGGGGATCCAATGTATTCTCTCCACTGCAATTCCCTACTTCCAAAATAGAACTGCAGTCTGGCTTAACCAGTTGGGTTACAGTATTATAATACAGTCCCTACCCTTGTGACTAAGCTCTCTCTACCTGGCAGTCTAATTCTTCTGAGATTGATGTTTGGAGGTAACATTACCTGGGAAGGTCTGTAGACTGTGGAATACAACTCACTTGTTTTGTTTGTTTGTGGTAAGAAAACAAACTCTGAAGCACGGGGAGGCTTAGTGACTGATTTAATAGTTTAGTATTAAATTCTGAAGCGTTTCAACTTTATGAAGAATTGAATTCTGCCAGACACCCATTTCTTTAAGCCTTATTCAAAGAGTCAGGTTTTTCCTGACCTGGTGGTAACCTGAGTATATAAAGACCTGGTTTTGTCTCATTCCTCATCATCACCAACACTCACTACCTTCCTATTCCGGTTGTCAGTATCTGTTTTAATTAGTTCCTGGTCCCTGGTGGACAGGGTGGAACAGCTGTTTTTGTGGTGGTGATTCTATGGCCTGTGAGAAGACTTGGAGTTCATTTAAGGAAGGAAGGGAGGGGTGTATTCTTACTTGACCCCTGAATTATGTTTCGGAAGGGTTGCTATTGCCTGTCACCTTTGTCTAATCCTGTGTGGTGACTTTCCTCAGATTAAAAATTCTGGTGTTTCTTAGGAAACATGTTGTACCAAGTTGGGCTGCATAACTCACCTTTATTTTTTTCCTTCCCTTGCCTTTATTCCCTTTTTTGCTTTTCTCCTCCAGCTGTGCTTCCTGTGTCTTCAGCCTTGAGTGTCACTGCTGCCTCAGGGCAGCCTGTGCCAACCCTTCCCCCTCCTTGCTCCCTGCCCCCACAGCAGTACCCTCTGACAACCCCTAACCAGCCTACCCCATTCCTTTCTCCCTCTGCTATTGCCTCTACCCCCTTTGAAGCTCCTTTTCCACAGGCATCGTCTGGGACAGCCCTGCCCTTGGGAGCTGCCCCTACGCTCCCTGACACCCCAGCTTTCCTACCAAACCTAATAGGGCCTCCCATCTCCCCAGCTGCCTTAGCTCTGGCCTCTCCCATGATAACTCCAACTCTGAAAGGTGCCCATCCCTCTTCAGCTCCCTTGACTCTGGTGGCCTTGCCTCCCCACTCAGTTCAGAAGAGCTCTGCTGGTCCACCTAACCCCATTAGTTCACCTCCTTCAGCTGCTGTGGCTAAGTCAGGGTCCGTGACACCACTGTCAGCTCCCGTTGCTTCCTCAGAACCAAAGACCTCTCCTATTCAAGCTCCCTCTCAAGTAGTCCCTAATCCAAAAGTTACCCCCATTCCTCCGTATACGGCCAGTGCTGCTCCTTCCCAGCCTTTAACGCCCTTGGCCTCTTCTGTTCAATCTGGAGTGGCCTCCTGTGCTCAGACACCACCCACTACTCCCCTAGCCATCACTTCCCCTCAGGTCAAAGGCATACCTATTTCCTCACCTCTGGCTTCTCCACAAAACCCTGTAAGCCTCAGCCTAAAGGGACCCCTTACTCCACCTGCTGCCTTACCTCTTTCAGCCCAGTCTGTTCCTATGACTCCCAGTGTCCCCCCAGTTTTCCTCACTCCTATGGGCTCTCCTCGTGTACCTTTACATCAGAGTTGTCTTGGTTCTCCTGTCCAGTGCGTAGGTCAAACAGGCCCTAATGTTCTGTCCGATTCTCTAGTGGATACCATTTCTGTACACCACTCTTCCCTAGGGGCCTCTTGCCCTTCTCAGCAATCTGTAATTTCTCCCCCTCCTTCCAGAAATGAGGTGGCTCCTGCTGCTGTGACTGCCTTTCCAGTGGGGGCTCCAGCTTCCTCTGTGCCTCTGTCGGTTGATAAGGGACTCTCTACCATCACTAGTGTATCCTCCTACAGCTCTTCTGGTTCCTCAGCTGTCTCTTCTCCCTTATCTCCTACAGCCCCTCTCACCCTCAAAGGCTCTCCTAATGCCACTCATCAGCCACCCTTAGAGGCCCAGATGCCTCCTGCTTCTCCAGGAAGTCCAGGCTTGAAAAAAGCTCCTGTTTCTTCTGTTGGAATTACCTCACTTGTGATGACTAACCCCTCTACAATTTCTGCCACATCTACCACCTTTGAGGTAGTAAATGCTACTTGTGTGTCTCCTCCAATTTCATCAGGTCTCATAAGTAATAAGAACTCAGCTTCCCATACTGCCTTGGCTATGACACCTGTGGCTCCCAAAGAGCTTCCTTCTCCTTGGGTAACAACTGCTCCGGGGATACCAGGCTCCCCTCCTCTGCCAGCACCTGAGGAGCTCAAAAGTCTCCCTGCTTCACAATTGGTCAAGTTCCCAACACAGAAAGATCACCAAACTGTCCCTGCCTCTCCTGTAGGAACCCCTATTTCACCAGCTCAGGCAGGACTCCCTACCAAGAAAGACCCTATTGTACTACCATTGGCGCTGGCAGCCCCTCAAAATCCTCCCACTCCCCAAAGTACATCTTCTCTGGAAATATCTGAAGTCACCTTAGCAAGCAAAAGCCGAGTAGAGCCTCTACCTGTAGGTAAGCCAGCTGCTGCTACTCCCCCTCCTCTGGGTGCTATTTCCCCAGCCTCTCTAATCAAGACAGATCCTTATGCAAGTCCAGACCCTACCAGTGTGCTTCTCAAAGGTTCTCTTCCTACCCCAAGTGTAGCTACATTTCCTTTGGAAAGTACTGCCACTTCTGCGGGGACTCCTACAACTACCAAAGGAACCTCCACTCCTACAACGACAGCCAGCCCTTTTCTAGAAGGAACTGTCTCTTTAGCACCTAAAAGCCACCCAGCCAAGAAGGGTGCTTCTGCTCTTACTGCTTTACCTTTGGTTCCTCCCACCTCTGAAAGTTGTTCTGTGGCTCCAGCCATGACGTTATCCCCACAGAATGTTACTTCTCCAGCTACTGTAGCACTGTCTTCTGAAATTCCCAAATCAGAACCCTTTCCCTCTCTTCCCCCAGCTGGTAATCCTCAAGTTACAAAGATAGGTCATAGTGTTTCTCATAGCTCAGCATCGGCATTTGTGGCCTCCTCTCCTGAAGGATGCCCAGCTGAGGATGTTGGTGCTTCTGTTGCTGCATCTTCCAAAGGAACTTACCTAGCCGAATCCCCATCTTCTTTAGGGACTAGTGTGTCTCCTCAGACTGGAGGACCTCCAACCAAGAAGGGTTCGGCTACCTCTACTACCTTAACTCTTGCCCCCTCTGTTTCTAAAAATGTAGCTGCTGTCTCTGATTCTCCTGCTGGCAATCTCTCATCTCCTGTTTCTCGAATTGAAGCTTCCTTTCTTCCAGAGGCCAGTTTTTCTTTTCAAGTCCCTGAGGAATCACTAACCAAGAAGCATTCCCCCACTCCTCCATCCCCCAAAGGGGCCCCTACTTCCCCAGCTGCTGTCTCCTCATCCCCCAAAGGGGGGCCAGCAAAACCATCCCCTAAAGAGACTCCTCCTCCTCCAGCTATTACTCCTTCCTCTCCCAAAGGAGCCCCAGCTACTCCACCTCCCAAAGGGGCCTGCACTCCCTCAGCTATGGCTCCTCCCTCCCCAAAAAGGGGCCCAGCAACCTCATTTCCTAAAGAGACTCCCAAACCCCCAGTTATGTCCCTTCCTTCCCCTAAAGGAACCTCAGCAACTCCATCTTCCACAGGGCCTCTAGCTATGCCACCCCCCAAAGAGTCTCCAACACCCCCAGCCTCCAGAGGGGCCCCAGCAATTTTATCCCCCAAAGAGCCCTCAGATACACCAGCCCCCAAAAGGGCTTCAACAACTCCATCCTCTGAAGAGCCCTCAGCTGCCCCAGCCCCCAAAGGGGCCCCAGCAGCTCCAGCCCCCAAAGAGCCCTCAGATACACCAGCCCCCAAAAGGGCTTCAACAACTCCATCCTCTGAAGAGCCCTCAGCGGCCCCAACCCCCAAAGAGGCCCCAACAACTTCATCCCCCAAAAGAACCCCAGCCTCCAAAGGGGCCCCAACAACTCCACCCTCCAAAGAGCCCTCGGCTGTCCTGGCCCCCAAAGGGGCTCCAGCGGCTCCATCTCCCAAAGAACTCTCGGATACCCCAGCAACCCCATCCCCTAAAGAGCCCTCAGCTGCCCCAGCCCCTAAAGGGGCCCCAACAACTTCATCCCCCAAAAGAACCCCAACCCCCAAAGGGGCCCCAGCAACTCCATCCCCCAAAGAGCCCTCAGCTGCCCCAACCCCCAAAGCGGCCCCTG